CTGAGCACCCCTCCCCCCACCCAGGCCTCTCTCTTGTGGTGGGCCTGGTGCTCTACATCTCCAGCATCAATGACGAGATGCTCAACAGGACCAAGGACGCAGAGACCTATTTCAGCTACAAGTACGGCTGGTCGTTTGCCTTCGCTGCCATCTCCTTCCTTTTAACAGAGGTAACCCTTCCGACAGGCTGGGTGGGGAGTGGGCACCGCCCAGGCTGAGCCGGAAGACCAAGACCCTCCACACACATCCTGGGCCACTCCTCTGCCAGCCTGCACCCCCAGAACACGTCTCTGGTTTACCTGCTGGTGTCCGCTCCATCCAGGGTGTCCCAGGGCCCTGCTGCTGACCCGTACCCACTTCCCTCCCCACCCCCGCTGCTCTCATGGCTGTGTCCCATGCACACCCGGCCCGGGAGCAAGGCCAGGCCCCCAGCAGTGAGCCCTCCCCGGCCTTCTCTCTGCAGAGTGCGGGGGTGATGTCCGTGTACCTGTTCATGAAGAGGTACACCGCCGAGGACATGTACCGGCCCCACCCCGGCTTCTACCGCCCACGGCTGAGCAACTGCTCCGATTACTCCGGCCAGTTCCTGCACCCCGACGCCTGGGTGCGGGGCCGCAGCCCCTCCGACATCTCCAGCGATGCCTCCCTGCAGATGAACAGCAACTACCCAGCCTTGCTCAAGTGCCCCGACTACGACCAGATGTCATCCTCCCCCTGCTGAGCCTCACGGCCTCCCTCTGGGACTGCGGACAGCCAATCAGCCTCTCCTATGCTCCCCTGCTCGCCCGTGAGCCCCTGGCCCGTGGTTGACAGGCAGGGGCTGCCCCCATACTTAGCTGTTGTCACTTGATCCATGTTTTCTCCCTGCTCCCCCCAGAGTATCTCTGACTGCCCCACCGTGGCGTCAGGAGTCTGGAGCCAGCGGGCAAGCGGATTGGCTGAGAGCGTGGTGTAGCCCCACCTCTTGAGTGCCAGTCACCCCGGCTGCTCTCCCCTTTCCTGGGACAGGTAGGTGTCGCAGCTGGGTGTTCATCCCTGAGCATCCAACTTCACGGCCCAGGCCAAGGCCAGCTCCAAGATGCCAAGTTCCTTCCACAGACCCAGCTGGACTTGTGTACTTGCCGACTGGCCTGGCCCTCACATTCATGATCTGGCCCATTATGGGGACAAAAGGTGACTCCTACGGAGGTCCAGCTGGTTCCACGTTGTTAAGCAGTGTTCCTTGTGAAATCTTTCATTCTTTTTATCACCCATATCCCTCCATACCACACACCTGTCTGTGCTCTCCACTTCCCACCCCTGCCCCGCAGGCTGTGACTCTCTCCCCTTCTGCTACCAGAACTCAGCTGCCCCACCTGGGTCCCCAAGGGGCTAAGGGCACTCTGAGGCCACTCTGATGAAGTCACAAGAGGTGTTAATGGCTGATGATGTCTTAATATATATGGCCCCTCCATAACATACTTCACAGGGGTCTTTAATGCCTTAACCCAAGGAAGTGACTCTGATCATGAGAATTTCAGAATTTTGTTTGTCCAAGTTAATATTCCCAGGCACCGTTTCATGCCCTGGGGATACTGTCCCTGCTCACATGGGCTATCTTTCTGGTCCAAGACCCTAAAATCTAATCATGCAGACAGATGTCTGTACCACCTCAGCAGAAGGCAGCTTTCAAGAAGGCTGCATGGGACTTGGAGCTGGATTTGCTGACATCTGGTGCATTTTGAGTCTGAACAAGCCAGACTGGGAATGATCCGGCGGCTCTCCTGAGGATGCCCGTGAACATTGGGGGTGGGGGTTGCCAATCTAATCCTAATACAGGGCCGCATCTGCTTCCCAGGTATGGGACATATGTAGGTAAATAGATGCCCCAGGAGATGAGGCAGCCTGATGCCCATTTTCCTGGTAGAAAACCTGAACTTGGATGTGTGAAGCATTTTTCATGAAGTCCAGGGAATGGAAAATGGTGGAAGGGTCTCTGCAGGACGTGACCCACTAGTTCTCCAGATGCTTATGCGTTTTGGATCTGAGGTTTTGACTAGCAAAACAATGCCAGGATCTCTACTGTATTTTTTTTTTTTAAATATATCTTTATTAACTCCAGAGAGAGGAAGGGAGGAGGAAAGAGAGATAGAAACATCAATGATGAGAGTCATGGATCGGCTGCCTCTTACACGCCCCCAACTGGAGTGTCAGGGCTCTCCAGAGAAACAGAACCAGCAGGATGTGTATATATAAAGAGATTTATTTTAAGGAACCGGCTAACCTGATGATGAAGGCTTGGCAAGTCCAAAATCTAATGTGGGAGACAGCAGACTGGAGGCTCAGGGAAGAGTTCCAGCTCAAGTCTGAAGGCCATCTGCCGACAGATTTTTTTTTAGCTCAGGGGAGGTCAGTCTTTGGGCTAGTCAGGCCTTCAACTGGTTGGGTGAGGCCCACCACATTAAGGAGGGCAATCTGCTTTATTCAGAGTCCTCTGATTTAAATATTAATCTCATAAAACAAAAACAAAAAAACCACCCTCACAGAAACAGCCAGAATAATGTTTGACCAAATCCCTGGGCACCACAGCCCAGCCAAGTTGACACATAAAATTAACCATCCCAAGTGGCTAAAGGAGAGAAGGCAGAGGAAATGGCATTCCGCCTTAAGAATTGCAGGGTTGGCACAGAGATTGGGGGTGTGGGGAGTCAGCTCATCCATGCACACCCAGGGCTCTGTGCCTTCCCAGGCTGTCCCTCTAGCTGAGGTCATTTGTTCAGTGAGCACACAGAGCCCATTTGCAATTCTTTCAGTCTTGACTTTTATTCCACACTCAGTCAACACACTCTCATATGCTAATAGGACCCTTAGGAAGTTAATTAGCCTCTGGAACACAAACACCCCACGTCCTGAGGGGGTGCAGAAGTGGATTCTGCTGAATGCAGGGTTGGTGTAGAGTGTGGGGCTGAGGGGAGTCAGCAAGTCCATGAGCGCTCAGGCCCAGCCAGCCAGGACCCAGGCTGAGCTGCAGCCTTGACACCCCATGCGTAGAGGGTGGTGCACCATTTCAAGAGTCATATCAAGATGCAGCAGATCAGAAGGAAGAGGAGGACTGTCTTCTGTGTCTTTCTTAGGAACAAAGACAACTTTCCCAGAAGGCTCTACCTCATGTCTTATTGACCCAAACTGGGTCACATGCCCAATCCTAAAGCACCATCTGGCAAGGGGAGGGGTGACCATGTGCTCCAGTTGTCTATTGCTACATAATGAATTACCCCAAAACTCAGTAGTGTAAGACGATCACAACTGTATCATTATACAGTTTCAGGGGTTGACTGGGCTCAGCAAGGTGGTTCTCGTTCAGGATCTCTCAGACAGTGACTGTCATCTCCAGGGCTTGCTCACTTGTCTGGCAGTTGATGACCCCTGGGACCTCAGCGAGGGCTGTCGGCTGGCGCACCTATACAAGCTCCTCGTAGAGCCTGGTCTTCCTCAGAGCATAAGCTGGGTTCCAAGAGTGAACATCCCAAGAGACAGGCAGCATCGCTTTCCTTTGAAGTAGCCTCGGAGGTTGCTGGTGTCATTTCCATCAGTATGACCAAACCCCTGAGATTTAAGGGGAGGGAACATAGGTGCTGTTGATTCAAGACGTAAGAGCCTCAAAGTCCCATTGCGAGGAGAGTGGGAGAAGCAGGATCTGTCATGGCAACCATCGTTGGAAAACACACCTGCCACATGACAGGCTTTCACCAGCTGTGCTCCTAGCCTGGGATTCTCATGTTGTTCTCCGGTGGGGCCTAAGAGTCTGTTTCTCTAACTAGCTTCCAGGTGATGCCAAGGTTGTGCCATGCTCTAGGCTCTAAGGACTGGGTTCCAGACGCATGAATTATTTAAAGCTCCCAATGTGATCCTGACATGATACCAGGGAGAGAACCATTGGCTTAGATCCACCAGGATTCACCCTTGGAACTGGGGATAAAGCCCCTTCCCATGAGTTTAGTTGGAAGTCTAGTGGCCTCCCAAACAAGATGCAAGAAAAGAAGGGGAAAGGGTGCTGTGTGGGCAGCCAAGGATGCTTAAGGCCTAGCATCCTCCTTGCTACCTGCCAGCCCTCCCTGACCCTGCCTCCTTAGACAGGGGCTGTGCCTCGGGCAAGTTGTCAAGTTCGTGGGCTCGTGCCCAGCCCCTCTGCTCTCGGGCCCTTTCCCTGGTGAGCGGGTCTTCATTGGGATGCAGCAAGAGCCTGCCCTTGAGAAAGGACCCGGCACTCCGCGTTCTGGAGTCAGCGTGCTCTCCACCCCGCCATCAGGGCCAAGGGGTGGACTTCAGGCCCTGAGTAGGCTTGATGGATGTTCAGAAATGACTTTGCAGTCTCAGGGCTCCGGCTGCAGAGTTTAAGCCAATCTTCATCACTGGTCTTTGAATAATTCATTTCACGCTCAGCAATCATAAAAAGAACAGGGCTTGAGGGCTTTGGAGGTTTCTGATCAGGCACTAAAGAGACCGTGTATTACAGTCTTCTCAGCAGACTGATTTTGGGTCAGTTCTAATATTAAATCCACCCACATTCACGTATCCGCTTCCTACCCCATTTCAGATACAATAAAATCTGCATGCATGAAAACACCATGGAATTGGGGGGGG